AAGCTCTGGCAGCTGTTTCAAGGCACGCCTGCACTTCTACAACTCAAAGCAGGCCAGGCGACAGAATATGGAGGCTACTGTCGCCTATAAATAAACAGGTAAATATTTATTTTTACATGGGACGTTAAATATAAAAAGGCTCCTATGGCATAATGCTTACCAAAGTCTCAGCTAAGCGTGCTAGGCTAGCCTCTGAAAAACGCTACAATGAAAAAACCCGACTGACTGAATGGCAAGGCTTACTAATGCTTTGCACCCTCACACTGAGCCTGTGGCTAACCCCCAAGGCTCCAGACCAGCCTGCCCCCTACTGACCGGCAGGAGGACTAACGCCTTGAGAATATTCAAATCAGTAATTATTGAATTATGACAGTGCTTTACATTTGTCTGACAGCTTAAGACATTCGATACTCCAATATAAAGACCTTTAAAACTAACAATTTAAATGCAGTATGGACTAGAATCATGCATAGAACAATAATATTAAGACGTTTATGGCCAATAAGTCACATCATAAAATAATCTGATTTTAGCCTATACTGAACAATGCTGTTGATAAAAACAAGAACAAAACAAAAACATAAAAAACTATATATAGTAGATAATATCGTCGTTGCCCAATGAATAACACGTATCTCCAAAAAGCCATTGTTTCAGTAGCGTAAAAAAACACATTTTCTCAGAAACTACTTCACAAGAAACCACCAGTGAATAATTTAACATTCTAAATGAACATACTTGGATTATTTTCAGTGAGACAAATATGTCAGTGTCAACAAGATACAAACTAATCTTGCTTTATATTCACAATTAACAATGATGTTAGTTAGCTAGGAAAATGTAAAGTAAATCGTACAAATGACGATCATGAATACAAATGTTAACTAGAACAAACACAAACACAAATACCACTTAAACAGATGACTTCATAAAACATCTTTTCATTGGTCAATTACATCTCAAACACAATCAGTAGACAGAGGAGAATGAGTGTATTCCATCTATAGTAAAATGTCAAAACTGTTAAGAAGTGGCCATACATGGTTTTCAACGGACGTTGATGATATGGAATTTTCTTAGCTATTAGAGCCAGTGAGTGTTTTACTGCAACCAAGGATGGGAACGTCAGACGGTGGAGGCACGGAAGCTCTACGGAGTCTATCTCTGATCGAATTGTGATGACAAGAGTCCTGGAAAGGAGGTCACCTCTCAACGGAGTGATGAATCAAACCTCAAAATGTCTGTCACCCAGGCGAATGCAACATGCCGCCTTCCACGTAGAACAACGTCAACTGGAACTCAACCCAAGGACCTGGAGGCCTGTTCATCTTTCCAGTACTTTGCTCTGTTTAATCCAAGAAGTTCCAGCAAACCAGTTCAACAGTAAATAAAAAAAAAAATAAAAAAAAATAAAAATAAAAAAAAAAACGAATTTCAGAGTGACACACTTTTTACAAATCTGCTTTTCTTTGTGAGGACAGTGAATGACTAACGCATTCAGAGAAAGCCAACTCACGCGCCGTGCCCGTATTCAGTACGTGGACAAACAAATCTTACAGTTGCGATCAAGAAGACCGCCTAGTCAAAACCACATCGGGGGAAAAAAGGGACACGTCCGTCAGACAAAGGACGCCTTTCTGTACAGAAGAACGGCACCCGTGCTAGCTGTCAAAAAGCAAACGGCCCATCGAGTGAACATCGAGTCACATGACTTCCAGGGACAGCCCAATGCACATCAACTCAGATTCCAAACGGTTCACATGCATGTATGCTATCATGGAAAACTCATCCCTTGGTATGGCAAACAGATCCACAAACCAAGGGAACGGGGCAAAGGAATGGGGGATTTTTAGAACCCTTCTGGTATAAACAGTTAAACAAGCTCACCTAACATACAAAAATGGCTGTTTTCCTTTTTAACCAAAAGGGAACCAATCAGAAAGCCCCCCAAAGTGGCACGGATGCCTTTACACCCTTAGCCATTGATTACAGGTGAGTAAAAGCTGCAACTTCCCGCCCTCGTCTCTCAGAGTTCTGTATTAATTATATCATTGCATTATGATGGTCCAGTGTTGTGAACCTCTCTAAGCGACTGGCAGCCCAAATTAAAACCGGAATACCAAGCAGCAATTACATGACACTGAAGCACCGGGGTCTGTTCTAAGGAAGCCTCCCGCACAGCTAGCTAGCTAAATAAATAGCTACATAAATACCAGCACAGTCTGGCAAAATCTAGGAATATAACATTTTTTTCCCTTTTACTTTTAATTTGATCTGCTGAACTTCATTTGTAAGGTGGAAATTTCTGGAGTGTCCTGCTCCTTCATCCGAAAGGGGTCAGGCAGTCGTAAAGAAAACGTTTTTAGGAATCCATTACTACACGTTTGGGTGAACATTCGTGCGATTCTCTCCAACCGTACAGCATCATGCCTCCTGACACCCCCCATAAAGTACAAATTGCTGTTTGAGTGACCTCTCCATTTCCAATAAGACCCAGCAACACATAAAACAGCTTCCTCACACATTGACTATATTTAGCTGACACTTTTGTCCAAAGCCATGTAATAATGAGATAAATGGCACATTAAATTGGCCCCATTCACGTACTTCTAAGTACAAACTAAAACTGCGCCTTTTTAGTGTTGAGAGTTTTAAGCTCGGTGGTCTTCCTTCTGTGTTATAAATGTCAGTACTGTGTGTACCTGGGACTGATCATTAGCACAAAAATAATGGGTTTGGGGGGGATGTGGACGCCACGCTTCACTTCTCCTGGAATATACTGTACCAGACCCACAATGTATCACCTCGAGTTTACCGTGACCGTGAGCCTTTCCGTCTGAAAGTCAGCGCCTGTCAGGGAACCGCTTCCCGCCTTCCGTGCACGATCGCTCGGTAACTCCATTTTAAATCACGCCCCGTTCTGATGTAACGCAGCGGCCACGCATCCCGTTCGGCCACCGGCTATAAATACCCGTTCGCACGAGGAACAATGCGCCTCCTCATTCGTGACGTCTCCGGAATAAACTTCCAGATGTGGCGGTAAAACTATCCGGTGACCCAAAAAGAGACGTGCAAGAGAAACGAGAGCATATTAACACAGAAACGCACAGGCTAAATTTAACGATCATTTGCACACGCACACAGAAAACATTAACGAGGATACAGCTCTGCTTTGTAACAACAATAATGCAGTACATCATAAAATCTCACACCTCTATCAGGGATGCACACAAATATGTGCTAACTGTATNGAAAAATTGCTTGGAAGGCGGCCCAAAGACATATTTTTATTTAGGACTGTTGGTAGCTACCCCGATATATTTGTTATTTTTTCCACATGTAATTGTAACATCCAGAATATGAAGTACACATGTAATCATTTTTTCAATGAGTTTCCAGTCAGATCCCTTTGTAATTCTAAACTTCAGAGGACAATCATCGGTGGAAAGGAGGACCGGCATCGTGCAGAAGCTTCGGGCTTTTTCACGTGTGACAGTGACGCTTATCTATGTGCAGCTACGGTGTGTGACGGCAGTGCGCAGTGGTAACCTTTCCCATGCTCGGGGACCATGTGCGTGACACACACACACAGCTGCTGGGCCAAACGCGCTATACATCAAATACAACCGACTTAGGTCGCAAAGATAATTCGTTTCTCTAAGCAGCGTTTATTTCACACGAAGGCGATCCGTCCTCAGCAAAGACACCGTCTCTCGTTTCATGGCATGATGAAATAATAGAGCTTATTAAGAGTGAAACTTCAGTGAAGGGTGTGACAAAGATGTGCCTCACACGCCCATAAATGGTTCAATTAGCAAATGATTTCATCTTCATTTTTGCAGTTGAGGATCTACCTCTGAGACACAAGCTAATCAAGTCTTTGTTCAAATATAGCTTCATCCCAAATATATAGGTATGCATTCATACATATAGAAACAAAATCACCACTCCAAGCGAACGGGAGGTAATTTAGGAAAAAAAATCAGAACCCCGGCTACATGATCCCATCGAGAGCTGCTATGCTGATCTTTATCTCGATGTCTCACGTTAATTTATTTTATGCTTAAGTCTCCCGGCGTGGCCCTGTGCCCACGCCCGCCATGCCGACCGCCCCACACCGGTCACACATGCATCCTCTGCGGCGAGGGGAGAGCCGCTCCCTCCCGCATGATGGCCGCTATCACTCCCGGCATCGCAGCGTGCGTGGCGGAAAAAACCCGTAGGCGGCCGGCAGCCTGAAATCATTACAGCTTCACCCCTGGATGGGACTGGAGAAGCCGGCGATCCCCGCCTCTCTGATACCGAGACACACCTGCCACACGCACTCGGTATCGGCAACTATTAGGCAACCACAACGCGCCGGGTGCATCATTGTTTTCAGTTATTTTCACCCAGTAACACACCATAAGCACATTTACTGTACTTTCCTTCAATCAGACATATGACATTTTATATCAGGGCAAAAAAGAAAGGGATGCTTTACCTATATCTATACATAATTATAAAATATGTGCGTGTATTATATCACCGCCGAGTGTATCTAGAGGACGCGGAGAGTCTGCTGCAAAAAACATTAAAATCTTGTTTTAAATATGAAAAGTTGGACGTTCCCACAACACGATCCTACGGCTCCGTCCGGGATCTGCATTTGGCCGGTTGCACCGCAACGCGGAGCCCACAACGTGGCTGGACTATGCGGCTCGCCCCGGCTCACAGGACCCGCTCATTCCGGTCCAAACAGGTGCCGCTTGCCATCACGACCCCCCTCCTTCCCTATTCAGGTGGTCGCCTGCGGGGTCGAGGCTGACACCGGCCCATTATCTCACACCGTCTGCGGTTCCGTCCACCTCACCCATCCGCACCATGCATGATGCCGCACCGACCCGGGCGCATCCATCTGCAACCGAACCGTGAAACGCGCATGCAGCATGGGATCATCCAAAGGGACGGGATGCTTCCTCCCCATGATGCTGCTGGTGATGAGGGTGATGAAGACTTACCCACGGATCTGTACCCCAGGATGGCGATCTTGCGCGATTTCGGTTGCGGCATCTTTTTTCTAGCAACGACACATCAACTTAGCTAGGCTCGGCAGTAGGGCACATGCAGAAGCCTGGGGATGCCCTGAGTCGCCTCGCGTCTGGCACTACTTACGCAGCGCGCTGTTGTCTTAAACAACCGAATTTAATTTTGAAGCTAATATTTAACAAAATTCCCAACAATTTCACAAAAAAAAAACTCGACTCTCTAATATCTGCGTCACTCTGCTAGCAATCATATGTATTATTCATAAGAGGCCCGCGTTGGTTGGCTGTATTTATAATTAGGGTGGGCCTATACAGAGCTCTAAGATACCATTGGCGTGAATTTCTGTCTTTCTAGTTCAGATACCGACTCTGGCTGATTTAATTGGTCAATGCGTACTGTTGTGACTTCCAACGTGCGCCGTGGGTGGCTGGCAGCGTTGTCATTCATGGAATCGCATTGAAAGGAGCGCAAGTTAACACTAAGAAGGATATGTGGGTGCTGAGAATAGCCGAGACCTGCAGAAATCAGTGTTACAGGGTGGTGGAGACCCATGGGCTTCATTGAGGGAGCACGGATAATTAGCAGGAGTGCATATGCTTTGCATATTTGGCATGTATCGCAATGCAAAATGCGTGTAATCCAAATGAACCAGAACAAGACAATATTACCCGGGGTTGTAAAAATAATTTGTAATGATTTCGAGCTAACGCATTTGTTGCAGAGCTAATGCTGAGATCGATAATCTCAGCGACGGAAATAGCAGTTAATTAAATAATGGCTCACTGAATCTATTCTGTTAGTGATCTACTATTATGGCGTCCCCAAATAAGGTCGAAAGACATTTATTTCCTCTTTTATGCCGTTTATAGGGTAATTGCCCCGTAGTTATTGAAACAACCGGAAATCGGGCCAGGAAATGTGTTGCAATGATCCCTTTTCCGTCGTCTTCGCGTTACGGTTTCACACCTCCATGGCTGTACCAAAGCGTCTCGCCTGCGCCTGTGTGTATGGAGTTTGCATGTTGCGTGTGGCTTCCCGCCGTACGCACGGTTCAGGTGGATCGGTGTATCTAAATTACCGTGTGTTTGTGTCCTGTAATGGCATCCTGTTAACAATGTGTCGTGTTAATGTGCTGTAGGAATTCCTCCAAGTTCACCCAAAATCCTTCACTGGATACGCGGTTCTGAATAATGCGTGGATGGACTGGATCACTCTCTACACTTTAAATGCATGAGGTCGCTATTATTTTAAGCTTCATTAACACCGTCCTGTTTACATAATCTGCATATAGCAACCATATAATTTTTATATATATATTTTTTTTTACATTTTACCTGCAAATTATATATATTATCGTCTACTAATAAATGCAGTTACTGTGAGGTTGCCATAAATTTGAGTTGGTTCAATATTCATTATTGATGGACTAAAATGTAAGATATTCAATATCTTGGGGACGGGGTCGTAAAATATACCCTGTCCTACAATTGCCTACCACACTGTTCAGGTGGATGATGCAGGCGGTGGATCGTCGCCATCTGGTGGCAAATCTATCAAGTTTCACTGCGAGTCCGCGGATCTTACTTTATTGTAGTGGTAAATTCCTCAAAGATCTGTATTCCAGACTGGGTAATCAATTCTAGGTTTCATATGCTCAAAATGAAATAAAACCTACAGTCGTTGCCAAAAGTTTTGAGAATGACACAATTATTGGTTTTCTGCTGGAGTCTGCTGCCTCAGTTTTTATGATGGCAATTTACTTATAATCCAGAATGTTACGAAGAGAGATCAGATGCATTGCAATTAATTGCATAGTCCCTTTTTGCCATGAAAATGAACTTGATCCCAAAAAAACCATTGCCACTGCATTTCAGCCCTGCCACAAAAGGAGAATCATTTCAGTGATTCTCTCGTTAACACAGGTGAGAGTGTTGGCGAGGACAAGGCTGGAGATCACTCTGTCATGCTGATTGAGTTAGAATAGCAGATTGGATGCTTTAAAAGGAGGGTGGTGCTTGAAATCATTGTTCTTCCTCTGTTAACCATGGTTACCTGCAAGGAAACGCGTGTAGTCAACATTGCTTTGCCCGAAAAGGGCTTCACAGGCAAGGATATTGCTGCTAGTAAGATTACGCCTAAATCAACCATTTATCAGATCATCAAGAGCTTCAAGGGGAGAGGTTCATTTGTTGTGAAGAACGTATCAGGGCTCCCAAGAAAGTCCAGCAAGCACCAGGACCATCTCCTAAAGTTGATTCACCTGCAAAATTGGGGCATCAGCAGTGCAGAGCTTGCTCAGGAATGGCAGCAGGCAGGTATGAGTGAATCTGCACGCACAGCGAAGCAAAAAATTTTGGAGGATGGCCTAGTGTCAAGACGGGCAGCAAAGAAACCACTTCTCTCCAAGAAAAACATCAGGGACAGACTGATATTCTGCAAAAGGTACAGGGATTGGATTGTTGAGGACTTGGATAAAATCATTTTCTCCGATGAATCCCCTTTCTGATTGTTTGGGGCATCTGCAAAAAAGACTGTCCGGAGAAGAAAAGGTGAGCGCTACCATCAGTCCTGTGTCATGGCAACAGTAAAGCATCCTGAGACCATTCATGTGTGGGGTTGCTTCTCAGCCAAGGGAGTGGGCTCACTCACAATTTTGCCTAAGAACACAGCCATGAATAAAGAATGGTACCAAAACCACCTCCAAGAGCAACTTCTACCAACCATCTTAAAATAGTCTGGTGATGAATAATGCCTTTTCCAGCATGATGGAGCACCATGCCATAAGGCAGAAGTGATAACTAAGTGGCTTGGGGAACAAAACATTGACATTTTGGGTCCATGGCCAGGAAACTCCCCAGACCTTAATCTCATTGAGAACTTGTGGTCAATCTTCAAGAGGTGGGTGGACAAACAAAAACCCACAAATTCTGACAAACTCCAAGCATTGATTATGCAAGAATGGGCTGCCATCAGTCTGGATTTGGCCCAGAAGTTGATTGACAGCATGCCAGGGCGAATTGCAGAGGTCTTGAAAAAGAAGGGCCAACACTGCAAATACTGACTCTTTGCATAAACTTAATGTAATTGTCAATAAAAGCCTTTGCCACTTATGAAATGCCATAGAAACCATAGAATACCATAGAAACATCTGAGATCAGGTTAAACCTCAACTTCACTGCCATGGCAAAACAACAGAGGATAAGTCGTTTTTAGTTATTTGTTAGTTATTAGGGTACCGATCAATAACAAAAAGGGACACGGCCTTTTATTTAAAATTTACTTATATGATCTGCAACATGTTCACGATTTTTATGAAATATGGTCGTCAGATCGATCTTTCGTTTTCCACAGAATAATGATGTCTTGCTCCGCTAATTACATCTCTTTTCCTGCACTTCTGAGTAACTTCCAAATTATCGCCGGTGCTTGTGGTCAACTCATAAGCAAGTTACAGTACCATTGTAGGCGCCTACCCAGTAGTTCGTGTTCGAACAAAAAGTAGGGACTAATGGCATTTTCACATCTATAGTTTTGGTTTCTCTGGTCCAAATCAGTTGATGAGTTCGTTATAAAAAACAAACGAAGCAACAATGCACCACTTCAAATCATGTGAGAATGTTCCTTCTGCTTATTGGTCAGATGTGTCTGTGGCAGGAACAAGAAAGTAAATACAGGGCCCTGGAAGTGCTGCTATCTAGACTTTTGCAGCAGCTGGCGCGGTTGAACACGTCATCCATCCTCTATTTTTTATGCCATACGATCTACCCACACTACCTTTGCAATCAACCAGTAGATTGCGGTCGACGTATTGGGCACCCCTGCTATAGACATTTCCAGGACGATTGGTGTCGGTTGATATGTCTTGTCAGTGTTGTAATAGGGTCCATTCTGCTATATTGTGGCGAATATACGCTTGTGCCTCAGAGATGCTCAGTAACTGTTCTTGTGAAGAAAGCATGTCATCTGTACTTCGGCTGTTAAATCGGTGATCAAGACAAGGAATGGGCGCCTGACATTTGTTGTGCGACTTGTGCCGTCTGTCTGAGAGCCTGGCTCAGAGGCACTCGAAAGACAATGCTGTTTGCTGTCCAGAACAGAAAGACCATGTGACGGACTCTTACTTCTGTTTGACTAATGTGCCTGATTTCTCCAAAAACAAGAAGTCAATTGAATACCCTAATCTGCCTTCAGCAATGAGACCTGTGCCACATGATGACAGTCTTCCAATTCCGAAATCACCGGAGGAATGGACCTTAGACAAACCAGATAAAGAAAGTTCAATGCAGGGGACTGGCAGTGACAATGATCGGGATTTTGAACGGTGCTCATCAGTGTGATGGAGTGGTGGCTCTGAGGCTAGGGTTCTGTGCCAGCAATCAGAAGGTTGCTTGTTCAAATCCTGTGAATGCCCAGAGTGATTCTACTCTGTTGGGGTCTTGAGCAAGGCCCTTAACCTAAAATTGCTTCCCCCTGGGTATGATGTTAATCTACAAGGCCCTGCAAGGAGGTCCTCCAATTTACAGGGAATAACTTGGGGGTTGCTGGCAGGTTTGGCAATCCAGCTGTTTGGACTAGTGTGGTGTTGAGGTATCACCTGCCACATGGTTGTACTCAAGTTCTCATCCCTGAGGTGGTTTATCATGTGGTGGGTGTGACAATGCACTGTAATCAGTGCATGCTCCTTACCCCCCCTCCCTCATCAGGTGATCCACATCTCATAACACAGTCAGAATTAAATGATCTGGTCAGAGATTTGAGTCTGTCGAGAACAAAAGCTGAATTGCTGGGTTCGAGACTGCAGGAGTGGTGTTTTCTATCACCAGGTATGAAAATTTATGCTGACTACTGTTGAACACTGCAACGTGATGCACCTGACACTGAATACAAACAAAAATCAAGAATAAAACACTTTAATAGCATATAAGAATCATAAACTTGATTAAATGCGTTATTGCCAGTAAACAGTTAACTGTCAGAGTTCCTAGGTGATGCAGCAAAACCAAAACTATATTTGTGCAAACCCACCAGGTACCTGTCGCAATCAGCAAAAACTTTTCAGGAATCACAACTTTAAAAAAACTGTTGTGCGGTGTTATTGTATAGTATTGTATAGTACTGAAAAGCTGGGGGGTGGCATGGTGGCGCAGTGACCTCTGTGACCAGGGTTCCAGTCTCCACCCGGGTTCCATGTGTGTGGAGTTTGTATATTCTCCCCGTGTCATCGTGGGGTTTCCTCCGGGTACTCCGGTTTCCCCCC